TATATGCTCTTGCCTTGATAATGCGAGAGTGCAAACAGTCCACACTTTTCATTCTGAAAACGTCAAAAATGTTTACGCAAGTTTCACAATACGCGCGCCGAGAGTTGTTTCACGATTAATTAGCACAATTAGAGTCTCGAGGAGAGCAGTCTGAATAAATATGAATATATTCAAATTTAACGAAAGAAAACCGTTCTTACGCAAATTTCTCACCAGAAAAAAAGTAAATCGTGACCTCCAGCTTGCTTCTTATTTTTAATTTTCAACGTTTGTTTTGAAATCGGCAATTAAATAATCAAAAAAGTTTATTATGATTGGGCAGAATTTTAAATAAAGAAAGAAATTTGTGTGTATCTTTGAAAGAACAGGAACAGAATAGGAATAAGTGAACATAATTTGGTGCAGAAGATATAAAGTAAAACAAGAAATTTCAATCGCAAAGTCACGAATTTCACAGGCTATAAAAATTAAAATAATTAATGTAAAATATGTTTAAGAACAAAAAAATATTGTCTATAGATAATGAAAGCTTAAAAAATTCCATCTTGTAAAATTAATTTTATATTATGACTTTTTTTTTAAATTACTACTTTTCAGCAGTTTTTTTCAATCACTAAAGCATTAAAACGATTAAAACAATTAAAAATCCCTTTTCACACTTGGTGCACGCAACAAACTCATGCACTTAATGCCGTTGCAAACCACCCAACTGTCACAAGATACGACCCGTAAATCAATTAGCGTCTGAACAAAAAGTTGCACGCCGCTAAGATTGTTGCGCGAATAATGAAAGCCTCAGTTTTGCTTTATCTGATCCTTTTCTTTTGCTTCGTCCGCCTATGTGTGTTATTTTTTATATTTCCTGGTTACTGGCGGATTCGCCGCGGGAGAGATTGATTTATAATGAGAGGCAGCACGGAAATGTGAAAGGGTCGCCCTCTCCAAGTGGCAGAAGTCAAGGTTGGCCATAAATGTGGTCCTGTCGGGAGGATGCGAAAGAAGCAGAGCTCAAAATGAATCGCCAAACTCAGGGGCACCTTGCAAAAAAAATCCTATACAGCTGGTTTGAGGTTTTGCAAAACTTTAAAAATAAAAAATTAAGAAAGTTATATATGAACAAATAATAAATTTATAGTATTAAATACTATTTAGTTTTTCAGACAATTTCAATCGTTAATTTCTAATAAAAATTATAAACATAATGAAAAAATTGTAGAAATGTGTATTTAAATTATTTCAGAAATATTTCATTTTTATATCCTTTGAATTTGGTCATTTTGGGGGGAAATTTAGATTTTCTCAATCAGCCTCTAATGAAGATTTTAATAGAGCATGAAACGCTGTTTTTAATCCTCTTTGTAATATCGAAAGCCTGAGTAAATTTCATAATTAATCCCCGCAAAGCTTTTCCACTCCGTAACGCAACTTGAATCTCTCGGAATCAATCATTATTCTCTTTCTTTCGAGTGTAAAAAATTCCACAACAACGTCACGGGCTTCACGTTCTGCTCCGTTGAATTATCGAACGTCGTTCGACAGTAATTTCTCGTTTTCTTCTCGAACAAAATTGCACACACGCCGAGAGTCCGGCGGCGGGCGGGCGTTGGGTGGGGCGCTTGTGTAGGGGACGATGGACCTTGGACGTCTCTCTCGCAGCAGCCGGGGCGCGAGAGCAGTAGGAAGGTTTCAGCTCAGGGCGTGGTGCCCGCCGCTGATGACCTTGCAATTTTCAATTGGAAACGAGAACGGGATCTCGTTTTATTATTAGTCAGCCTTTGCTCAATGCGAATTCCAAATTATTTTTTATTTGTTTTGTCATCTCTGACTTTTCCTTTCAAGTTTTACATTTTTATACAGGAAGATGATGCAATTAATGGTAAAATTTTAATTTGGGCTGGAAAATTTCATTCATTGACGCTTTTTATATTAATAAATAAATTATTCAGCCTAGACAAATAAATGATATTCGTTTTATAAATAACTCCATATATATATGAAACCAAGGCCAAAAACCAACAATTTTAATTTAGAAATATACCCTAGAAGGAATGAACGTGGTATGGTATATATAATTTATTAACATAAAGTTAGTAAAATATTTAATAATATAGCAAAAGGATTTAATTACAAAATTGTACAATCACAATTATTTAATAATATAAAATGATAAAAAAATTATAATATGTTTAATATCATAAAAATATTTATTTGAAATGATAAAACACTTTTCATTTCAAAAGCAGTCATTAGATCAAACCAATTTATTATTTTGATTTCAAATTATTAATTATTCTTCCTTTAATATGCAAAAATATCCTCTGCGTTTGTTCAATTTGGTTGAAAGAACTATCTGTTCAGCCGCAAATTTTATTACTTGAACTCCCATAAAACTTATTTTCTAGTTTCATTTTCTACCTATCAATCGTAGCTGTAAAACCAATTTGCATCACTTCGAACACGCTGGAGAATGTGTGAAATTTCCAAACTTCCGCAAATCTCTAAAATTTATAACTCGCGAATCCTTCTTCAGCTTACAAATAGAAAAAAAATATGCATTTAGGCGTGAAATCAGTGTAACTCGGTGCAAACGTTCAAGAGCAGGAACTTTCTAATCTAATGCACCTTGATTGATAAATCGAGCGGTACTCTTGAATCAAAATTGAGCGAAAAACGCGCCGCCTCAAACCGCAGAGAGTGCTTTGGAAAGCTGATAAGTTTTACGGCGAGAGGAAATTATTACTCGCAAGCGTAAAAAAATTAAATTGGAAAAAAATTGCACGCCTCTCTAAGCAAGATCAAGCGCGGCCGCCGCTACTGCCACTATTAATTATATATGCAATAAAAGTCGACGCACAACTTCCTGATTGGAGGCGTTTTGCATTTTTTAAATGAGTAAAAATCCCGAGTGAAATGCGCGACGTCAATCACGACAATTTTTACAACTCCTTGAAGAGTGTGATGAACTTTTGCGACCGCAGCAGCAGATATTGAATTTTGATACCAAAACTTATTTTCTCCCCGAGATTTTCCGCGACAACAATTAGTTAATTGCGGGCGAGGCGTTGGCAGGCGTAACCCAGTAACCCATACACCCATCTCAAGTCAACATTGATGGAAATGCATCCAGGTGGCAAGGCCATCAAGAAGCGACCGCCTTTGACAATGAAAAAATTATAAGTGCAGTTGCATTGTGGTGGAGAGAAAAACGTGGCTGGAGAAAACCATTATTATTATGTATTATAAACAATTATTGGATTTTAAAGTGAAAAAATATCAGTAAATTAATTTAATAGCTTTAAATTTCATTTGATGTGACCTTACAAATGCTGAACACAAAAATTATAAAAATTCACCAGATACTCAATCAAAAGATTTATTCATGAATGCAATAATTTCAATAATATGGTTCAAGGGTAATCTTATATTTATTTATTACCAATCAGAAACATTTAATTTAAAATATAATTAAAAACTGCAAAATAAGAAATATTGTTCTGTTACCTACAAGATATAAAACAATATTTTGTTAATTAATTGTAAAATAAAGGAAATTACATTTATTTTTTATTTGAATAGAAATAAGAAAATAATATTACAAATTTTATTTTATTATGTAATGCACAAATTTGCAAAAAGTTTGTTTGAAGGATGTAAATAATAAAAGAAAATGTAAATAGAGTTTGTTGACATCTCGCGAAAGGTGCATTCGCCCAAGAGGCACGTCAATGGAGCCATCATCTCTGCCTCTCTTCTTTTCTCTGGTCTGATAACTGGTAAATAAACGCTTGAGTTCCCGAGGCGCCCTTGCATTTGAACACATTTGCAATCATTATTCATCCACACTCGCCATTATTATGCGAGTGAGCGTGTAATAAAAACTGACGCAACTGCAGTCGTTTGAATCGCCGCGGGATGTGTGCACTTCTTATACCATTTTTCGACCCGCGGCAAATTTCAACGCCCGACGACCGCACCGCTCTTTGCACAATATGCGTGTCTGTCTGACCTGGAAGTGCATAGGCCATTGAGGGCATTCTTCAAGTAAAATGTTTCAAAATTATTTAAACAGCAATAATGTCTTGAAAAAAGTTAGTAACAAGAACATCATTTTAACCAGAGAAAAAGTTTTAAATTCACAAGGAAAAATAAAAATTTGAATAATTTGATCAACGAATCAACAGATATGTATAACAATTCATTTGCTATTCCTATTAAGCTATAAATTCACCATTTTTGTAAGCAATAAATAATAAATAAATAATTTTAATTTTTCTTTTTCCAGTGGAAAATCTTCATTGAACTTGAACTTTGCCATTAAAACTTTGGAATTGTTTCTTTGATCAGCAGCTCACAATTTATTATTTATAAGGCTGTGCTAAGCTTTTCTATGAATATTATAATTATATAAATTTCAAATAAATTATTGATCCGAGCGTGAAAGTGCGGCGTTTATTTACAAATTATTTACCTCCTGCGTGCGTTTCTGTGACGAGGACACTCGCACTTTTCTCTAGAGAAAGAAATAATCCGCTGGTCATTAGAGTGTGTGGATAGCGAGTGCGGTTCAATATTGTATTTATCACCCGAGTGGAAAGTGGAACGTCTCCAATAAAACTGTTGCTCTGCTATATAGTCGGATTCACCTCACCTGTATGTAAAATTTCCACGCCCTCTCAGTTGCCACCGCGCTCTTCCATTGGGCGAGCGTGTCACGTGATATGTAACACTGATACTGCTTTCTCACGAAAGCGCGCTAAAACTCGGCACGTGGGCCTATACAGTACCTTCATATAAAAAAATATAACTCTCATATTATTAAATTCCGGAAAATTCGATTCAAGCAGCTAATATTTTAAAATTAAGAAGGCGATGGATGAAAATTCTGTGTGGTGTGGTCTTTGAACTTTGACATGACCATAAAAATAAATTTATAATTTTAGGAAAAATTGAAAATAATTAAACCAATAGTAAATTTTTATTGAGATCAGTTTTTTAATTTGAGATCTAATTTACATTACAAGCACATAGCGCTCACTCACAGCACAGCCGACTCACTTAGAAGCTTCCTTCGCGTGGCCTTCTTCTTCGGCCGTTTGGCCTCGAACTGCTCATTTAACTCATGGAGTCGCTGAAATTAATTTTCAGTTAATCTATTTTAGTTTTTTTTTTAAGTTTGTACCTTTTCCAGCAACGATTCCTTCCTCCTAGTGTCCGCTGCTGCCTTTTCTGCAATCTGCTTCTTTCTCTCCTGGATGGCAGGTTCCAGCTCCTCGTCCGAGTCGAAGTCACCCAGGTCAACAACCACTTTGTTGGGGGACTCCAAGGTCAGGCCCTCCTGCTTGAAGTGCTCCTCGATGAGCTTCTCGCAATGGGCAACACTGTTCTTCCAGGCATCCTCAGGGATCTCACGAAGTGCTCTTTCCCAAGTTGCTATCACCACCTCCTTCGAATGACTTTCATTCACCTCAAGAATGAGTTTGTTGTATTTTCCTTTGGTTGTGCTCCAGATGTGCTCAATTGCATTGTAAATGCAGTTGTATGGAGCATTCCTAAGAACAACATGGCCATTCTTCTCCAGCAGGTAGTCAAAAACATAGCTAGAAATTAAAAAGAGAAAATAATTGTTAATATATTCATAATTTAAAAATTTATGAAAATATACCTTTGTTCGTCTGAAACGTGTTCTAAGCAAAGCTCAAACATTTCCTTCTTCTTGAGTTTTGGATCAAAAGGAATTTTATTTTCATCCAACCATTCCTTGAGTTCAGCTTTGCTCCGAGACTTGACAGGCCTCTTTTCAAGCTGCAATTTTTTTTTTGATTATTTCATGTGTTAAGTCTTATTACTGAATTATATTTATTTTTATTTTCAGGTGTGGTATTACTTAAGTTAGTTTTTCAGTTTAAATAATAATCAATTTTAAAGAAAACTCACCACAGTTGAGTGATAGCTGGCATTGTCGATCACTATACAGCATTTTTCTGGCAGGTTGGGAATTAATTGATCAATCGCCCATTTCATGAAATAGTCAGCAGACATGTCTCCATGGTAGTCCATATGGGCAACCTTTGATGGAAAAATCAAACTAGCTCCTTTTACGAAGCCGTCGGCGCTTCCAGCGTGCACAATTATGAATCGTTTCCCATTTGAGGCTCTCACCCTGCCGACTGCTTCCGAGCTTCCGTCAAACCAACCAAAAGCCACATTGGACCCATTTTGAAAAATCCAGGTCTCATCCAGGAAAATAAATGTGTAGCCCAGTTTTTTTAGCTTCAAATAACGCCTCAGAAAAGTTCTAGAAAAAAGAGAAAAAAATTTAGAATAATTTTGAAAATTTGATTGATACTGATCGACAACTTAAAAAAATAGAATTTTTACACAAGAGTAAAATTTCAGCCAGTTTTTTAATTATTCAATATTTACCTTCTCCATGCTATGTTTTGAGGCGTCTGTTTGAATTTTTCCCGGAAGTCAGTTTTCCGGTAGGAGAAGCTTAGCTCATCTTTTAGCAATCTCCGTAGGCTTGAAGTACTGCCTTCAAACAGTTTCCTTGCGACACACCGATCCATGACAGTATTTATAGTTGTGTGCTCACCTAATAAATAGAAAGTGCTAAGTTATAAATTATTTAATTTAAAAAAAATTGTTGCTAAAATACTAAAATAAATTTACAACTCAATATTTAAATTGCCTGATATTAAAGCCAAAACTAAATTAGTAGGATAAGTTAAATAATGATATTTTAAATAATTTCAATAATTACCTTTTCTCTTCATTTCATAAATCAAGTTTTGAATGCATTTTAACGTGAAGGAGTCCACTCCAGTAACTGGTGCTGGCCTATTTAATCCTTTTTTCGGTGTTTCTATCTTTTCTCCAGTTTTGAGCACGTTTAAAACCGTCCTCTCGGAAACCTATTAGATTTTTAAATCATTTTTGTCCAAATTAAGGAAAGAAAAAATTTCCTTACCCCCAACAATAATGCTGTTTGCGTTGCTAATTGGGTGTAGCTTCGGTTTTCACCAGGTTGCCGAATTAAAGTGAAATGAGCGGAGAGTATTGCTCTCCGTAACTCTTGATTGACACTTTTTCCAGCTGGTCTTTTGAATGGCTTTTCAATTGGGCCTGGATGATGCACAAGAGCCTTGTATTTTTTGGCAAATGGTGTAGCTGGTAAGTCGCCAAATCGATCATCCTCTTCATTTTCGTCGACCAGCTTTAATTTTATCAAAGTTTTAATATGTTGCAATTTTTTTCAAATTTTAATTCATTGATTAAAAAAAAATTAATTTACTGCACATATCAAATTTAACCTACCTCTTCAAAGTCTTTGGAGGTGGACGGGCCATCTTCCATGCTTGGAAATTTTCTTCAGAATGAGTGTGCAAGCACTTTGTGAGTGCATTTCCATGCGGGGATGATTCATAACGCCGGTAATTATGCCCGAGGTGCCCCAGACGATTGCCATTAGGGCGCTCTGCGCGACGAGCGTCACCTCCGCGTAATGAGTGGCGCCGAAGCCGTCGAATGCACCAGACTAATTATTAACCAATAAAATTCACCACTTCCTTGATTTGTCAGCCTCTAAAGAACACTTCCAATACTGCCTAAATTTTTTAATTCTACGTGTTGAATAAAAAAATTCATAAATTAATAATTCAAATTATTACAAAAATTTCAGTATTATTAAAAAAATAATGACAAAATTATCATTAATCTCTATCTTAACCATTAGTCAAACGACCTGGAAATTTCATCGCCTTCTTAATTTAATGCTGCTTAAATTGAATAAAATAATTGATCGCTTATATATTATATTTTATATTGAGCCAGTGTATAAGCCCGCGTGCTGAGTTTTAGCGCGCTTTCGTTTCAAAAGTGTACCTGGGATGAATGTCACGTGATGCGCTCACCCAATAGAGCGCGGAGGGCGTGGAAATTTTACATACAGGTGAGGTGAATCCGACTATAAAAGCAGGCGATTCTAAAATATTAGGCAATACCTTTCTTTCCTCAATTCGTTGACCGTGTGAATTCAATAATTATATTGTTTTTCCCAGTTCATCCGCAGAGGCCTTGGCTTGTTAGTCAGGAAGACGCAGATTCGGATCGTTTTTCTGCCAAGGCGCACTGCCAGAATTTTAATTTGCAAGAGTTTGCAGTCAATGAGTGGGCAATTGCTTGCTCAGTCCACATCAGTCGGACGTGATTTGCATTTTCCTTGATTGGCGCTTGCTCCAAAAAAGGTATCGGACACCACCGGGGATTTTATTTGCACAAATACAAGATGAACTCGTGGTCAAAGAGAGATAGTTTAAAAAAATTTTATTTTACGAGCGCACGCCTTAACCTTGATGAAAAAACTAATTTAATTCCCCTCTCTGAAGATAACAATAAATTCAATATTCAATTTAAAATTTATTTTTAATTAAACAAATGTAAAATTATAGCCATTAATTGTTAAATTTATTTTAAAAGTTTTGACTAACAATTGAAGAGGACGCGTTTAAATTTGAGGACGGTGTGGAAATTATTATCGGCTAAAGACGCCGCGCCGATTGAAATTCAGCTCAGGTTTGTTGAGGCGAAATTAATTATTTCCATGCACGCTTCATTTTTTACTAATTCCGAGTGCGTTTTTTGATTAAAAGAGGAGCTCAGTGAGGTTTCAAAAGACAATCAACGACGCGTCGCCTGGCCGGTGATGACATTAATAAGTGGAACACACATGCACGCCATTAGCAATACAGTTTTCAAACGCCGTTTTCAACATTAAACAAACTGCTCCGACTTTCTACTTGGAACAAGTTTTCAAATTTAATCGCTGTCGCTGCTCGACGTCTCCAAATTAAAACTCAAACTTTCAGATGAAGGTGTTCAAAATATATAAAAATATTTAAAATTTTAGTAAGTTTCTGTTCGCAAAAAGCAAGCAGCCGTTTTCTTTGGCCAGTACGCTCGCTTGCAAACAAAACCATTTTAATCCTTTCACTTTCTCGCTAATTACGACAAGAACCAGGCCGTTTTTTCTCTCTCTCGCCGATCCACACCGGTCGCCGAGTTAGTTATTATTGCTGCAAAGCCAGGTCTTTGCCCTCTCGCATGCACCACGCCTCCTCTAATAAGACAATTTTGTATTGTGATCTCCATCAAGTTTCTTCTCATTATTTGCCCCCAATGAGGAGCCGCGGACGTGAGTCATTTTGGCGAGATTGGAAAACGCGAAGCCTGTGATTAGGCTGCGAATTGGTTGAAAATTAAGTCGTAGCGTGCTGGGGTCGTTCAATGCAATTTAATGAAATTCAGGGCGGGGTTCGAAAATCGGCAAATGTTTCGCCCCAGGCAAAATTGCACTTATTATTTTATAGGCTCGGTAAATACCGAGCGCAAAGTATGTAATTTGGCCGTCTGTCATTTGTAATTTGGCAGTTACTTCTTATTCATGAGTTTGAATTTGCAACTTATGGAGTATTCATGTCAAGATCAATTGAAGTTTTACATAAAAAAAAAAATAGAAAATCGAATTAAACTATAAATTATTTTTCATATAAATCAGGAATTGAAGATCTCAGAGATTAATTAACTGTAAATCTTTAAGATAAAAATTGCATATTTTTAGAAACTGAACTACACAATTCTTATAGCTTTAAAAAAAATTTCAAATTCTCAAACAGACTTGTGATTGGTCTATCAACCAGAGAGCCGGCTGAAACAGGCGAGATACATAAAATCATAGCAGAAGCAGCGAATTAATACATAATTGTCGTGACAACGATGGCCTTGCTCTGGTTTCAAGCGCAGAACGTAAAAAGAAAACAATAAAATTATTCCAGCTACCATGGGCGGACCCCTGTAGCCGTTTTCTAACATCGCTCAACCGCCACCGCGTATATAAATCTTTGCCTTGCGAAAACGAAACTGGCCCACTTAAAATTGTCAGAGTCGAAGATTTTTCCAAGTGAGTGCGGCAGTTTGAAGCTAATTGATTGGGATGAGACGGTGGATTTTCTTCTGATACGATATTATCTCGGGCCGAGTGTGACCCACTGCTATGACCCACTGACTTCAATGAGTGCATGTGGCGGCTCTACGCACGCGGATAGGTGACTTTTCTCTCTGTTGTCGCTCTCTCCTCTCTCACTCGCCTTCTCCACTTTGATTCAAGTTTCGTAGGGAAAAGTGGAGAAAATAATTTGTTTCATTCCCAGCTCGCTACAAGTGTGTATGAATGTATTCCGCTTTGTTTGCGACGGCCAAGAAAGTTCACAAACTCGTTTTCGACATGAGCCCATTTTTTTCACAAGTGGCAATTTTTCTTCAACATATTTTTTAATTCGGATTTGCAAAATATTAAATAAATTAAATGCGTATAATCAGAAAAAAGTTCCTGAATTAAATTCCTAGTCATATATTGCAGAATCCTAATCAAGGCTGCGACCTTGTAAAAATAATCAAAAATTTTGAAAGAAAAAAGTAAAATCTGCTCCTCACCATTGTGCGAGTTCTTCACCCCAACGTCAAGGGTGGCGTTTTAGGGTAGAAGAGTCTCTGGTGCGGCCGAAGCGGAGTTTGCTTTGTGCTCTTTTCTCTCTCGGTCAGGCAGATATCCTTCAAGTCGGAGGCGCGCAACACACTCACTCGTCGGCTCCTTCACTTGCACTACTGAGCGCCAGGTTTTAGCCAAGAGTCGTCAAGTTAGGGGGCACCAATCACCTCCCGTCGAAATGAGAACACACCGCGAGTGAAAACTCGAATCCAATCCACCTCTCCTGCACTTCCACTCGCGCTTCATTTTTACACGCGCTTTTTCGACTAACGCCTGAGAGTGCGGTTTGAGATTTTCTTACTTTAATATTGAAAAAAGATTAATTTTTTTTCCTAACTGAATGTAAATTACTTTCCTGCAAATTCTACAAATACTTGCGAGAACTTACATGTTTCAAAATTATTTGCCTCTTAGATAATTGCTGACAAATAACCGTGTTTAATAGTATTGTTCTATTCCGAATATAAGAGATTTATATATGACAGATAGATCTAGAAAAACTATAACAGTTTTAAAATGAATCTTTCCAATAAAAAAGTCATTATTATTTTAAAGAAGGTTAAGAAACTAAATTTAACTTTATGGTTAAAAATAACAAATACAAAATTTTTTTGAATTAAAAATAAAATATTTTATTGTGACAAAATTTAAGATTTCTATTAAACCATTATGACATTTACAAATTTCCAACTTCATTATATTGATAATATATTTTACTATTGTTAATTTATATAATCCTCACAACAGAAACAGAAAAATGGTTTCACACAAAGCTTTGTACAGTTTTCTATGCCCTAAAATTAGAAATTATCATTAGATTTGTTTCACATTTATTCAATTGGAGCTTCTGCTTTTTAAGTTACTTGTTTGTTTTCTCCATTTTTACATTTTCAAATACATAATTTGCCGAAGTACCTTTCACAAAGTGTATGTAGGTCTAATTGGTAGGTTTTCGTGTGATAAAACCTAGTCGACTTGAGGGCGGAGAACAATAAAAATGCACCCAGGAGAGAATTTACTGGCCTTTGCTGGCTAAATTTTAATCAGACAATAAATGTGCACACACACACATACACGGACATGCACAAACTCTTGAATCTCGTACAATATATTATTTCCATGCTTCTGTGCAATGAAAGCAAGCAAGAAAGAAAAGCCGCCGCACGGGCTCTCATTCTCATGCTAAGCAGGCACAGTTTCTCAAACCACTAAATTTTATGCTCTATGCCGACATTTCCATTCCGATATGTTCTTCTCGGTCGTTTTCTCATTCTTGTGTACGCCGACGAGTGCAATTATTTTTAACCTCTGCAACTTTTTGTATCATTTGCGCGTTTAGCCATTAAAGAAAACTTGTTTCACATTTGAAAAGCAACAAATTTTATAATTAATAATTATGCACAAGGTCCGCGCATCAGCAACAATGAAAAATGATTTGATTGTTGTTTGAGCTCTCTGATTGGGTACAAGTATAATTGTTAATATCGAAATTTGTTCTTCACGAATTTAAACTTGAATGTTTTTCATCTTATTTGAAAAAAAAAAAAACAATTTCGTGTACTCCATAAGTTAAGATACTTTAATTGTTTTTAAATCTGAATGCACATGAATACTTTTTATCTGCCAATAACCGCTGTATTAGAAATTGACGTTGTAAATGTTAGAATTCGTGATAGATGTAGTTCATTATTTATCGTCCTGCAACAAGGACATGGCGAATCACGAAGAGCGGCCAAGGCGATTCAACAACAACAGGCTCCTTAAAGTTAATTGCTCGCAATATGAAATGAGATAAAACCTGAGAGCAGTGAACGTCTGCGCTCTCTGACAGTGCATGAGGGACAGTCGATCTTTACCTCTCACTCACATCCTTGTGCAGGAAATAAAAACTAACTATCCGACTTTGCGGAAGAGGAAACGTTTGGCTATTCCAAGTGCAGTGCGAAAGTGCGTTGCCATAAAAAGCGTGAGAAATCGTCAGCCGAAATTTGCAATTCTCTCCTTTTTTTCGTAATTTGATAATTAATTTTCAAAAAAATTAATATAATTTTACACATTCAGGGTCAAATAACAAAAATTAAATTTAAAAAAGCCTTGTAAAAATTATAACACATTATATTTTGCTACTTAAAGATTTGTAGATTATTAAATTTATGATTTAGTTAATTTTATTTTTAATGAAAATTTGGACAATTTGTACACAAGAAGCTTTTAAAAACTTGTAAAAACGCATACAAAATTTAAAATCATTTGAAACCAAATAAAAATTCAGCCCTAGCACACTTTACGTTTAATAAGAGTTTCAACTTAACAATTAAATATTAAGTAAAATTTCCTGTTTGATAATAAAAAAGAAAAAAAGAACGAATAATTAAATTATTTTTAAAGAGAAAAAAAAATATTGCTCTTTATCATATGAACATTGTTGTTGAATTTGCTCAGTTCATTATTGACAGCGATTGTAATGGATTTCAAAATAATTTGATCAGAAACAGTGTTTTCGGTCGATTATTATCCATCGACCACCCGCGGGCTTCCACTCTCGATTGTGTTTTCAATTTGGAAAGCACATTCTATCACTTTGTCTTGATACGGCGTGTATCACCCGCAGCAATTAAGCTGCTTTCTGCAGCGATGAATTGGAAGCCAATTATTTAACCAATTACGAGCACCTGACCAGCAGCAGAGCATATTGAATTGCTGTAAAGATAGGATTTCGATCTGCCGTTGTGGATGACGGCGGCATCGCTTTGGTGCGGCAAATCTGCCAGGAAGTGGTTTTATATAACTGCCCTGGAACCAGTCCCTCGTCTTTTTATTGCATATATGTGAAAAGTCCTGTAAGTTATGCATGCCCGCGAGATGTAATTACCTTAATATTGCGTTTGATTAAAGAGTATTTTGATTCGGAACTCAAACTAACTGACGATTAGATTTCGAAGCAGATGGTGATTAATTTGTGTTATTTATTGCCCCGGGTTGGTAGTTCTTGATTGGGTAATGTCAAGAAGAAATTAAAATTGAACAGGTTGTTGGCATCGGTTAGCATCATTAATCAGGGAAAAAACAAGAAATAAGCCAAATAAAAAAATTCAAAGTATCCAATATCCCCCTGGATGCCTGGATATATGTTCATAAATTGCATGATTGCATGATTCAAAATTTTAAAAATAAAAAAAAAATAAAAATGGAAAAACTAATACAAAGTACATTTTCATACAAAATATTTCACCGGGTCTAATTCTGTAAGATAGAATCGTTCCATTTCCATTTCTATTTCATTTTCCATTTGCTTACCCATTCTATTTCGTCGCCTTTTTTGATTACAACTTCTATTTCGCAGCCTATCCATTTCCATTTCTATTTCGTCGTCAATTTAAATAGTTGAGCAATTTATTTATTTATATTTAATTTAATTATTCCCTATGCTTACAGTGCTCTTCGAATGGTTTTTAATATTCAGGTAGATAAAATTATATGAATTATTTAATTTTTAATGAAAATGTATATTTATAATTCTTATATGTCTCTCGCACCCCCTTTTAATCTAATCTTTTTATGGCTCATAATTAGGGGGGGATCAAGATAATTTTTCCTTTCACGAAGTTAATTAAATCAATTTCTTAAAAATTGGTTGAATTCAAATACAATTATAATATTTTTTTTTTAGCAAATTAGCAACCATGTATTTTATATTATTTAATTCATCGCGTGCGCTGTTTGGTACCACAATTTGCGCCCACACTGTGGTACCACAATTTGCGCCCACACTGTGGTACCACAATTTCCGCCCACACTGTGGTACCACAATTTCCGCCCACACTGTGGTACCACAATTTCCGCCCACACTGTGGTACCACAACATCCGCCCACACTGTGGTACCACAATTTCCGCCCACACTGTGGTACCACAATTTCCGCCCACACTGTGGTACCACAAATTCCGCCCACACTGTGGTACCACAAATTCCGCCCACACTGTGGTACCACAATTTCCGCCCACACTGTGGTACCACAATTTCCGCCCACACTGTGGTACCACAATTTCCGCCCACACTGTGGTACCACAATTTCCGCCCACACTGTGGTACCACAATTTCCGCCCACACTGTGGTACCACAAATTCCGCCCACACTGTGGTACCACAATTTCCGCCCACACTGTGGTACCACAATTTTCGCCCACACTGTGGTACCACAACTTCTTCCCACACTGTGGTACCACAATTTTCGCCCACACTGTGGTACCACAACTTCCGCCCACACTGTGGTACCACAATTTCCGCCCACACTGTGGTACCACAATTTCCGCCCACACTGTGGTACCACAATTTTCGCCCACACTGTGGTACCACAATTTTCGCCCACACTGTGGTACCACAATTTCCGCCCACACTGTGGTACCACAATTTTCGCCCACACTGTGGTACCACAAATTCCGCCCACACTGTGGTACCACAATTTCCGCCCACACTGTGGTACCACAATTTCCGCCCACACTGTGGTACCACAATTTCCGCCCACACTGTGGTACCACAATTTTCGCCCACACTGTGGTACCACAAATTCCGCCCACACTGTGGTACCACAATTTTCGCCCACACTGTGGTACCACAATTTCCGCCCACACTGTGGTACCACAAATTCCGCCCACACTGTGGTACCACAATTTCCGCCCACACTGTGGTACCACAATTTCCGCCCACACTGTGGTACCACAATTTCCGCCCACACTGTGGTACCACAATTTTCGCCCACACTGTGGTACCACAAATTCCGCCCACACTGTGGTACCACAATTTTCGCCCACACTGTGGTACCACAATTTCCGCCCACACTGTGGTACCACAATTTCCGCCCACACTGTGGTACCACAATTTGCGCCCACACCTTATTCAAATAATTTTTTATACATTTTATTGAATTGAGTATATTAAAAATCATTTGAAATTTACTGTAAGCGCATATGCAATAATTAAATTAAATATAAATAAATATATATATTTATTTATCTTTATATATCTATATAAATATAAATATGGCTCAACTATTAAAATTGACGACGAATTAGAAATGGAAATGGATAGGCTGCGAAATAGAAGTCGTAATCGAAAAGGCGACGAAATAGACGAAATAGAATGGGTAAGCAAATGGAAAATGAATATAGAAATGGAAATAGAAACGAAAAAGCTTACAGAATTAGACCCCCAGATACCATCAATAAAATTTTTAAAGCAAAAATTTATTCCTCTTGAGGATTGTATTATTTTTCAATAAAATTTTTCCAAAATCGTATTAAATTTGTTTCATGGCGTAAGTCTCTGCATGAAAATATACGATTGAGCTATTTTCATGTAAGTATTCACTTAAAGTCGTACAGACTCGGCAACAAAAGCGGGCGATTTGCATCATTTCATTTGAGACACCGGCGGTGGAAATAAGGAAGTCTTTGTTACGTTCGTGAAAGAGAACGACCGCTCGCATAATGAATGGCGCCTTTGTGCTGCATTCACGCTGATTGCCGGCAGAAAGAATTTATAATATCATTCAATTATTATTGCACTTTTTTCTCAGCGAATAAGTGATTTCTTTCTTTCGCACAACACACATGGGCGTTTTGAACTGCAAAGTTTCTCAGCGTGCAAACACGTTCCTTATTTGGAATGCAGACTTTGTATGCAAATTAGATATTTACTAACAAGGCAATTTTTCACCTACCTGAAAGGGACGTGTGTCCTATTTTTTTGCGAAACTTTTGTGGAAGTATTACACATTTTTTTTTTACAATGCAACATGAATGTGATGAAGAATGGGATTTTTGGCTGATCAGAATTGAAATTTGATTCATTCTATGTGAGAAAGACAGTGACTATTTATTATTTACTTCTGGTATACTTTAATTTTTCATTAATTTATATTCTTATTTTATTATATTTGTCGTAAATTTATATTGGAAAGAATACTTAAAACATAAAATGATAATAAACTATCCCATTCAACCCAATTTTACCAATGTGAATAAAGGCTTGTGTTATTATGTATTACAGATTTGGAGATGATTTTTTTGAACCAATTATTATACAAAATTTAATTAAATTTAAAATTGGCAATCTGATTTTAAGTGATTTTCTTAGAGAGAATTAGAATTTTAAGGAGTTAATTCTCCTGATTTTCTAGCCGCAGCCAATAGAGAAAATTGACTCTTATCTAAAACTGGAACACATGGACATTGAATGTGAGCATTTTATAAATTTTCATTTAAATCAGTATAAATTATTTACTTTAGAAGCTCTCTGAATGCAAGACACAAATAAAAAGAAAGCTGCCAAAGAGCTTATTAATTCTGTTTGGCGTGTAATGAAAAAAAAAGATGAATAGTCACCTCTGCATGCAATAGCACTTACAAAAAAAAAACAATCCTTTTCTCAGAGAGCCATTCACACATCACAGACAGCAGCGCACATAATATTAAAATGCATAATATGTTTTATTCCCTTGAAAATATTATCGCAGAATGGCTGAAAATTAAAAGTCCTGCCATCGGATAAAAACACACTCAAGTGATTTTCGTGAGAACATTATTGAACAAAGTGCATAGCCGACGGTGCGCGACTCAAATGGATTTGAGAGAGACTGCCTAACTTAAAAGTACCTTCCCTGTTTGACCACTTTCACTGCTGCGCCACGAGTGAGCAGCGGTTGCTGACGAGACAGGGGTGGTTGACCCCACACATCAGCGGTGCTCGCAGACACCAACTTCCTGTAGCAAAAAAACTTGTCCTGCGGGCTTCGTGAAAATGACTGGAGCGATTTCCCACATGATATATGGGTTCAAGTCAGAAGGGCAACCAAACTTGTTCGCATATCAAACTCACTTTATTAGTTTTCTACTCCAAAGAAAATAAGTTCAAATTAAGTTTTGCAGAAGCGCAATTTAAAATGCAAGCAAAGTTTTTAATGTTACTAATTAAATATTTAACCAATCAGAATATTCCATAGAAATCAATTTTAAATGTAGCTTTGTAAGTAACAATTAAAATAATTATTCCATTAAATGGGGAAAATTTTTAACACCTCCCCCCCCCCCACCCATCAGAATGTGATGAAGGGTACAATTAAAACTTGAAAACATTTGTATAAAAACAAAAAATGAATTATATTTGCTAAATTTGGCAATTTAACATTTAACACTAGTTTAGCTCCAACATAATAAGCTGAAAGAAAAAGTAAAAAAAAATACTCATCTACAAAAGCAAGAGTGCAATTTAGAAAAAGAAAATTCTGAAAGCGGCTTTCCTGCGTCTTCTTCCACATTATTCTATAATCTGTGAATTATGATAATTTTTCGAGTAGTTATTCATGTCCTTTTTCGTTTCAGCAGAGACTTTTTAAAGTGGCGTCTGGAAAGTAGGAATTAATTGCAATTTTCCTTTTCAGTCGCAAGACTTAAGTGGGTATTTTAGCTCCCAACTGGAGGTGCTACTTTAAGTCGAAATGTTATGCGATGGTGCTTGATATGTCATCAACAAAAACTTCCTATGTTAACATAAGGACAAGATTTAAAAGAAAGAGACGAGATTGCAAATTAGCAAATGTCATTGACCCAACAGTTTTTTAATGAAATAATTAAGATGATATTTTATCATTAATTAAAAAGGAGCAAAAAAAAAAGAAAAAAATGTTTCTGTTTTTTAAAATAAAAATACCTTAGCTAAATTCTTAGTTATTTTGATTTCAGGGAGGGAGGCAGTGAAATACAGGATAATTGGTAAGTTTTCCAAACTGGTTCCGAAGAAAATGAAGTTGCTCTAAAAGTAATTTTAGCGTTCATCTGTGTGAGTTTTTAAAAACTTATCCTTCAATGTTGAAAAAAGATTATATATTAAATAGAAAGCAAGTTAAAGTCCGTAGGATTTTTGTGTTTATAAAATTATAACACATTGTATTATATGTGCTAAATTAAATTCAATGTTGTAAACCAATTATTTTATCAAAAGCAACCGTGCTTTTAAATTTTCATCTTATATTGATTTATACCAAATTTTTAGGTCCATGGCTTCTACCGAAGGGTCAAATCAACAGTTGGAAATATGAGGCTCGGGGAAAGAGTTCGTGGTTCGCCATCTGTTCGCCGGGGCCGCGACTAAGAAGCCATCGGGAGCCGAGTGGCGGTGAATTCAAGAAGAAACGCATGCGCCCGGCGGATGGCGGTGCCGGTGTTGCGGCGGTGTGCGCACGGAGGCGCCGAGAGCGGTGCTCTCGGACGGACACAGTCGTCGTGCACGGCGCATTCGGCCCCACGTTCGCCGCTTCGAGGATGGCCCAGCTTATGACAGTCAAGCTCGCCCGCTTTGACGGGTCACCCTGGGGGTTCCGCCTCCAGGGGGGCATCGACTTCGCCCAACCCCTTTGCATCCAGAAGGTAGGCAACCACCCAAAATACTAGCAAATCGCAATCGCACTTTCCATTTTTGTCTTTTTTGGACTATTTTTACATTTAGGGGCGGTTTTCGGCACAAAAGAGAATCGGTCTTTGAATTTTTTGCCAGTTCATCAACGGAATTTCAATTTCACATGAAAATTAAAATTATTTAATCTGAAATTTACTGGCATATTTTGAAAATAAAATTTAAAGGTCGCATTTTATCACTTTTATCTATTTAAGCTCTAACCACAGCCTCCTTTCCCAAACTCAACTTCCTGCTTAGAATTGTTTTCATAAAACGTAAAAACCCTCATTTTTCTGGAAAACCAATACTTTGAGTTTTGATAAGGTAAATTTCGAAATTAAGAGCTTGTTATTGCAATCAACTAATGATTAATTCGAGATCAATTGAGTTAAGATAAGTGACGTCATTTCAACTTATTTAACGGTGCAAATATTCAGATACAATATTTTATTCTGGTTACCAGAAAGAATTCTCACTTCTTTTCTTTCAGTTAAACTCACATTTGCAGCCAAGACAGCTCATCCGCTGTTTACTTTTTCTCCAGTGACTAAAGAGTTGAGCATTTCCAGAGTCCAAACTGCTGTGCGTACACGCGCTCTCGTCTCCGATTACGTCGGACGTGCACTTTATTTCAAAGTTGAATCTCAGTCAGTGAGTGCAGAACAAATCAGAGCCTTGTCACGTTTCTCTCTCGAAGCAGAAGTATAAAAAATAAAATTAATCTGGGAATGTTTATACAGGGTATTGGACTACGAAGGCTGGCAGCCAATTGATTGACTGATTTATTTATTACGATTTGAAAGCTCTAATGAGCAAAAAGTGTTTTTCTAATAGGAGAAGAAGTAGTGCTGCTTTTGCAATTGCAGCTAAAGCTAGGGATTAAGACGTGGAGGTGGATTTTCTTTTCTGCGTTATTTGCTCTCTGCCATGTCTTTATCGCAGATAATCAGATTAAACTTGAGAGGCAGAATGAGTTGGCCTGATTTCTTCTTACTTATTTGTCATGCATTTAAAAGTTAATAACAAATGCAGTATATCTGTGATTACGCTGATTACCTTAAAGATAAAGAATTATTTATTTTATGCGGAAAAAATTTTATAAAATCATAATTTTTTAAATATTAAGGAGAACCAAATTATTAACTTTTCAGGCGATTCGTTTTTTTTTTTAATTATTATTGTTAATTTTACATTGAAAAATTTTTAATTAAAATAAGTACGTATTTTTTCAGTGATTTTTCTTAATTTTCATTAAAAACTGAAAGTGGACCAATGGGTGGCGGTGTCTGGTCCCAATATTTTCGCCGTCCGTCGCGCTCTTGTTCAAGCGGGTCGGCGTTCTATAAAACCTCTAAATTTAGAACCGCACACACTGGAGGTTATTTTTGAAAAAGGCTTTCATCTTGTACACAAAACTATCGAGTTTCGACGCCACCTTCTCTGCCGCGCGCTGCTCCTCCTTTGAATTCTGGTACTTAACTATAAGCGCTCTTGAAATCTTATTTGCATTGCTGATTACGCTTCTGCTCATTTCGCATTTTAAGGTCGGATAGAATTACAATGAGATGGGACAAATAGGCACTCCCTAAAATCTTGCCAACTCCTCTCATTTTCATTTGAGAAATTTTAAAATAAAGCAATTCTGCATTCCGAGTTGATAAAAAGAATCAAAGGAAGACAGAAATTACGCCTGAAATGAAATGTGACAACCATTATTTTGAATTGCTCCTGTCGGGAACGACGGCAATTATTTTTGTTCCAATCAAAATTTCTGCGTGCAAGCTGCGCGCGTTTTCGCGATTTTTTTGCCAAGAGTGGAAATGTCATTAAACTGTGCCGCCGCGACGTCGCGGAAAGGACAAACAAGAGGCAGTGAAATATTTTTCGCCAACTTTTCTTGCCATTCCAGTTGCACTTAACTTGATGTACGAGCGCAATTTATGGTCAAATCTGGCTGCAAGAATGCCGCACTATTAAACTCCAGACGGGATGACGAGCGACACAACAAAACTGTTGTGGATAAAAGAGACACTCGCGCAATTGTCCCAGGCGGCGTGGTGTGAAAGAAAAAAGAAACACGCGGTTTTATCACGACTTTGTTGCGGGAGTTGAAAGAAACTTGATAAGCACGATCTCTTATTTAGTACAGTGTAGAGTTTTTTTAGTTGCATTATTATTATTATTAATTAGTATTATTAATTAGTATTATTAAAATATATATTTTTACAAAACAACGTTCTATAAATTATTGAACTTTTAGATTGAAAGACTGAGATTATGACTAAGGTTTTCAACTCGAAGACTTAAAAGCATAAAATAATTCATGTTATTATATATATTTTAAATAAAAATTAAAAAATTGACTGATTTTGTACATTAGTTGTTATTGCACTATAATAAATTAAATTAATATTTTTTAAATAAAAATCTTAAAATGAGAGGCAAAGCAGAAAATATATGATTTTGTTTAAATTAAAATGCACATACAATTATTTGCCTGGTTAAAATACGTCCTCACTTTCTATCTTGCTTTGTGACAAGTGACTTAAGCATATTCACCATTCTAAACATCTACTTTTACAAGAAGGGTAAGAAACCTTTCAAAAGTAGCCCATTCATACGCGGGACAGTCATGCACAGACCGATTTGCAGGATTACCCACTGCTGTGAGTCATGTTATTATATTTATTGGATTTTTTACACTTCCTTATCATTATTATTTTTACTCGGTGTGGCCGCCGAGAGAGGAAATTCCTCTAATCGCTAATCACGCCGTACGGAATTTCCTGCGGCAACAGCTGCTGGAACAACCTGTTTGACCAAATTCCACGATACGCGGCTTATTTTATTACTCCACTGTTTGTATGGATGCGAGAGAGCATAAAGATTTTTTAAGCGGAATGGAGCCACCCACGGAGGAGGGTCACGTGCCTCTTTGCATTTTTTTGGAAGGCTTCCTTTTGTCCCGTGAAACAGGTTGAATGACATCAGAGAAAAGGAATAAAAGGATTATTTTGTACGATGAGACAATATCGCTACCTTGGTACGCCGCCTTATTGTCATAATTACTGACGCAATACGCAACGCGGAAACATCAAAGTAAAGTTTCATTTTTTCAACACCTGCAAATTAAACATAAAAATGAACAAGTAAATAATAAAAGCGGCACAAGGTGCAAGCTAATTATGCTTTATATATTTTTTTAATCAAAACAAAATATTTAATTTAAGCAAAAATCATTACTTGAAATATAATATTCAAATTAAAGTAGTTCGCTCCACGCTTAAAACCCAGCATGTAATCAGAATTTTAATCGGTGTAATATTTATTATATTGCTGACATTATTTGAAATTTTAGATTATAACACCTAAAGAGAAAGTGAGAGAGAGGAAACAAAACATGAAGAATTCAATTAATTTTAAATTAAAAAGAAAAACTTAATAAATTTGTTTTAATTTAATGAATAAAATGAACAATATTTTATAAAAATTTGATTGTATTTTCTTTTAATGAAAATTCAAAACAACAATAAAATAAATTAAAACAAGAAAAAAAATATTTTTTTCTTTTTTCAAAAAACATTAACTTTCAGATACTTTTTAACTTTAACTTATATTAAGTAAATGCTCCGCTATGGTACAGCTAGCAGTAGCAGTGAAGCCAGAATATTTTATAAAAACCGATAACACGGGAGGTCACAATTAAGGGTCCACTGGGCCGGTGAATTAACATAAGCAAATTTCTTAAAAAGGAAAATCTTAAATTTATATTTTCAGGGAGGTTTTTAATACCCAAAACCCAATTTGGTTACATCAAATTAATCAAAATTCGACCAGATTGCCAAATTGCGACTGATAATTAAAGAAACTCGATTTCTGCCAAACCAGGAGGTTGTTTCTAGAAATTATGAATTCGTGTTACGACCCTCGGAGCGTAAAATCTCCAAAATAAGGAAGCGAATTATTTTTCGAGCATCAACCCAGCGCAGTAATTATCCTCACATATCCATAAAACGACCATAATCCGCTGTAATTGCATAGGTGGAAAGGACTTGAATACATTCCGGCTGCTTGGTCATTCCGCTCGGAGAAACTTTATATTTATTCAGCGGCAGCGAGACGAGCGTTTATTTGAAAAATCATGTGGGACGTCGGCTGATGGCATTCCACGGTCGTGATTCAATAAATTTACTTACGCACGCTCGTACCATTAATTTTCTTTATTTTTTTTCGCCACTAAGTGAAAAAGTCCCCGCTCTTTGAAGTCTGGTGGACGGAACTAGCTTTCTCATAAATCGCTTGATTATTCACGCAAATCGCGCACTGGGCTGGTCAATTAAGTCACCAGCAGTGTCTCCGAGACTTATTTATTGGCCGATATTTACATTAGAAAACGCGACGTCTCGCCCTGGATACTCGTGCGTTGGTGACAGAAAAGATGTTCCAGGCACCCTCAAATAAGTGCAAAAGAATGCCAAGCGTTTGCCATTATTATGTATATCTTGATTTTTCTTTACAAATACAGTAGCTTAGCTCACACTATTTGAATGATCTTAGCAGTGACTGAAGAACTAAATTATCATTGATTAGTGATGCACAATTATTAGAATGTAAAATTTCTTAATCAATCAAATAATACAAAGAAATCCAATTTAAAAGTGATTTTAAATAAAATTAATTTTAATAACTGATTTGTATTCTTGAGGTGGAGCAATCAATAAATTTATTTAATATTTTTATTTAATATTTCTACTTAATAAATTATAAAATTCTTTTTAATGCTATTGATAGGGATGCAAAAAAAATTAATAAAATTTAATTTTAACAAATGAAATTTTAATAAAATTAATACAAAAAATTTAATACGTGTAATACGTTAAGATATTTCATAAGAATTTATAAATATAATACAATTTTAAACTAACAAACATTTTGTCTTTAAAAAATACCCACACTGGAATTAAGATCAAAA